TATTAATTAATTAAAACAGCACATATAGCGTGAGCGCGGTGAGAGAATTGACCCTGCTACCAGTGGCCAAAACACGCGTCCGCGGGATAGCGATTTCAGGTTGAAACCCCGCTTCATAATGGTTTAAAATAACCAAACATGCACCAGATTGCGACGTTCGTTTCTCGTCCATATTCTCACAACTTTTTATCGAGGTGCATGCCCCCGCCACCTTACTAGCTCACGGCAAGCCTCACCCGACGACACCAAGATTCACTCGACCAACAAATATTTTCACACATCTGAACAATTTGCACCGGAGAAGCCTACCACACCAGGAACTATATTATATCACACACGGCTAAATCTCACACGCCCACCTCACAAATAGAACACGCACGCACGCAAGTACGAGTTATAGAACAATGTGCGGATTTTGATTTGATGCGCCCGTACGGCAATTTTAAAACATTTAAAACCTCGCGGCATCCGTTTCATGAAGTCGCGGCATAGAAACAGCTCATAAAGTCGACGAGCGAAATCGTCGTCAATTGCCGACGCTCGCGAAAGCGTGAGAAAATGGATCCTACCTGACTACTCGTGCTTCCCATCAGCACAGCACTGACCACGAACAATTCATGCAGCAATCACAGCGAAAACGTATTATACCGACACGGAACCCTGATCACAAATGCGCCGTAGATTCACCGTCGAATACGTCGGCGGGGAGGGGGGGGGGCAGCGGCAACTCTGATGAGGTCGCCACCACTACGGGCGCGTCGTACGCCACCACCGCCGTCACGCAAGCCACACTTCGCAGACGAAGAGGAGAAGGCAACAAGGGCAGGGAACCTTGACCAGCGCCGGTCACCGGGGCGGCGCGATAGAGGGACTGAGAGAATTATTAGCGAACGTACATGGCGCTTGTAAAAAAAGAGAGGAAAATGTAGTTACGCCCAGCCATGCACCCGCTCCTCATACCTGGTTATAGATGCACATGCAGGTTCGCACGCATGGCCGTGCACATGCACACACGCACACATATATACACACACACGCACACATACACACACGCACGAACGCACACATACACACACACACACACACGTGCGCAGACACGCGCACGGCCGCACACACGATAATGTACTGTTTTAAACAAGTTAAATGCTGGAATTTATGTAACAACTTGCTTCTAATTGATAGTGTAACTGACGCTAAATAAATATAAGAAATATAAGAAACAGCACTTATCACGCGCATAATGAGTCTACGCACAACACTGAATTATCATAAGCACATTCAATGATGTCAGTTGTTATATTTTTAAAGTAGCATCGTGTGTCCTGAAATAGCGGAGATGAGCCACTCATCACAAAGCTTGCCCTGGCAAAGACCCAAATTGAAAAACCCTAACCATATAACCTTGCTGGACTCTGTTCGTGTAAGGAAGATTTCAGTAACTCGGTCACCAAAGCCGAGAATTGTCTATTTCGGTTGCAAGGTTATAGTCATAGCCCACGAGGCTGTTATGCCTCGTATTCGTAGGATAAAATTTAAAAAAAAATGGGGGAGCTAGGTCGCCAAATAATTTAAATATAAACCAGCTCTCAACAACTCCCGAGGCATTTGATCCAGATCAAATTAGCATATGGATCTGGAGTAGGATTTGATCTAAACCTACATCCATGTAGGTTTAGATTAAATCCTACATCCATGGTTAGCCTCCTCAGATAAACATTCCATGCATTCATTGCATGTACTAGGCTAGCTATTGCTTTCTAACACTGGAATGCCGTTTTTGTGACTCCTAATATCCAAGATTACTTGTCCATAAGCTAGGAATGTAAAATGAAACGAGAACCAGTTTGAGGCTGATCACAAAATATATTGGTCCGTTATTATTGTTGGTCCAGTCATATCATATATGCGTGTATATATATCATCAATTTGCAATGAAAATTACATTATTAAAACCGATGCTCAGTTACTCAGTGTCCTCTTTGCGTGAATATAGCTCGTGTTCCCAGCTTAATCCTTAAATCAGTGTCTAACGTGAGTGATATCTCCTAAACTTTCATAAACATACTTTCTCTTGATGATTTCTGCATAAAAATTATTTAATATAAGAAAGAAAACGTGTTAAAAAAGAAACGGTACTAAATTTATCAAGACACATTTTTCTCAAGTTGTGCATGATCATTATTATGCTCTCAAATGCACTTGAATAAAATGAAAGCTGGCAAAAAAAGGGAAAGAAGCCAATCGTTGACGCACTATCACACACAATAAAAAGGTTCTCACTTTACAAACACACACACACACACACACACGCGCGCGCGCGCGCGCACAATTACACGCAAAATCATGGTGATCCAAAATCGTGGGGGGGGGACATTTGATATGATGTCCCTCCTCTGAAAATTCGTAGAGGGGACATGTCCCCCTGTCCCCCCGTGGATTTGCGCCCCTGAGTAGAAGGGGTCTTGTATTTGCGGAAAGGATTGCCACATTTCTGGTCAACAAGCTCATCATCAGCAGCGTAAGACTTCATAAAATGAGCTCTAAAGCGAAGGCGGCGGAAGAAACTCTCCACATCTCGCATGGTATTGTACTGATCTATTTGAGGTTTGATTGGAACAAAATTCAAACCTTTACCAAGACCTAACCAAAACCAAGATGACACGTTCAGATTCATTCAGTGGGAGTTCAGGTGGAACACACACGAGCTTTTTGTTGTAATAATTTGGATTCTAAGGCTCTTGTCTAGACGATAAAAGTTTATCGAGTTTGGCATGTTTCTTCTTGTTTAAATGATCATACCAATCACTATTAGCAAAGTGGATTCTTCGGCGAATTTGATGGAAAATCGACATATTCGATTTACAAGTTCTTTTTAGAGATTGCAGTGAAGAAAATATTTCGGCGTCACAGTCTTTAATTTTACGTTCATTCTCTCGTAGACATTGTCGGATCAATTGACGAGATGCATTTGACAGAATACGGCTTTGCGAAGAAGATGCACGATTCGACGAGTGAAAACGAAGCGAGAAACCAGTCGGAGTGATTCGATGGTGGAGACACTTTCGCAGAATCTTGTTTTGTTCATAATCATATCCAGTAAACGCATTGTAATATTAAAAAAAACGATTCAATGTGGATTCACAAAATGGTAAACGTCCGAACGGACCACGTTGCTAAATCCTCTGTTGTCAGGCATGTTGGATAATACGTGTAATATACGTACAGGCCCATCGGAGCCGCTACTGTTGGTACGGGATTGACCGTACCACTTTTCAGCCTAAAAAAGAAGAAGAAAAAAGGAAAAGAAAAAAAGAGAGATGGAGAGGGAGTAGAAAAAAGAAGAGAAAAGGAGAGAGAGAGAGGGGGAGAAGAAAAAAGAAGAGAAAACGGGAGGGTGATAAATGTCATGATCATAGGTGATCGTAGGCTTATCACCAGCTTAATGGAAGACCGCGAACATCGAAGTGACTTTGCCTTTTTTCCATTATTATGAAACGCATTATCACATAAACTGAAGAACAGCATATATGCCACAAAACGTTTTCATCCAATCGCAAATCTTAAAAATAATATCTTCAAGAAAGTGATAAATTAAGCTCGCCACTTGACCGTGAAACCTCCTATTTATAGGTTAGGGTTAGCAGCTTGACCTCAATTTCTATTTAATGAAGAGTAATTTGTCCTTTCTGCAGTACAATAAAAGAATAAAAAAATCACTTTAAAGTGTGCTAAATTGCATGATTTGCACCCCCAATTCAAAAAAAGTTCTTACCGAGGGAGGGGGATACCCCCTCCCACACCCTGCTCGATCGCTCCGCTCCCTCGCATCGTTTCCTGTCCCGTAATCAAATTTCTAAAATCTGGACACACCCTGTCTGCCCCTTCGAACCCCGCTCGGGGTTTCACCCCCAGACCGCCACTGAAACCGTACCACTTTAAAATTCCTTCCGACGGGCCTGGCACAGTATATATATATATATAT